AGATGCTTGAACGCGTGAGGGGGTTACTCAAGGGCTGTGAGGATGGCAAAGGGCACAGCTGTTTTGTATCATGCAAGTGATGTGTTAATCCCTGATGTGCTCAACGTGTTGGATGATGGTTTCTAAAACTAGGGTATTAAGAACTTTTCCATACTTCAGATTTCAAACTGACACAACTGAGCTTCAGTAATCCTGAATCAATGGCACAGCATGATAGTTGAGAATTCTTGGGAGCTGTTGCAGTGAATTATTTATCTGCGTTCTCCTTTGTTATGTTCAATAACATTTCATTCAGTACTTTATGTTTTTGCAAAGGGGCATATCAGATTTGGGAAATAGCAAATGTGTGAATTTAAATATTGTATTTTTCTACATCTATCTCAGCTGCAGTAATAATTTTGCCTAAAGATATAATGCATGTACAGTACATTACCTGCACTGTTGTCTGTGTGATTTATATACACACAGAATCACTAAGGTTGGAAAAGACCTGTAAGATCGTCTAGTCCAACCTAGTTAAACCACAGGAGCTCGTTTGCTTTGTGTGGCCATTCTAGCACTCCAGATCGTTTGTCAGCTGTCAGGAAAACAAATTAAGAAACGCCTTTTATTTACAGAGTTCCTTCAAAAAGAGTGCTGTACTCTTGCATGCAGGATAATCACTATTAAATGAGACACCATTTGCAGATTTAAAAAAAAATTACTAGAAAAGAGGTGCTTAATGTGGTTAGATAATAGACAAAGTGCCCTATTTGAGATACTTCTTCAGGGAGTATTTGTCTCACACTCCTCAGAGCTGAGAAAAAGCAGAATGTTAAATTTTTTTTGAGATATATCATTACAAAATATCCTACAATTACTTTTTTTAGATCTTCAGAGTCTTTGCAATGGCACTGTGAGTAAATTAACTTGATTTTGAGAAGTTATTTTACTTATTTTAAAATGTATATACTTGAAACCTACCTCTTCTGTAACATACATAGGTGGAAGTGCAACGGCTACACAACAGTGCAGACAACTGGCATTGCTTGTCTTCATGAACTTCATTGCAAGCGCATAGTTCCTTGGGCCTGTGTAGCAGCTGTGATAAGAATAGTAACTAATCCTCTCTAATACAGTATTATTGTATTCATGTATTTGCAAACAATGACTGACCAAATTCTGAGTTTCTACTTCAAATACTGCTCCTCTACACACCCTAGAGATGAAGTTATATCTCATTAAATACCTAGGTCAATACAGCTGTGTTTTGTATCTATTTTGTGTGTAAACCAGTGTTTTCAAACCCATTAGTGTGCCACTGCAAAAAAGGAACACCACTTTTGCTTTTTTAATTCTGATGCTGGTATTTTGCTTTTGTTCCTTTTTTTTGTTTTACTTTACCCTGTAAAGTTTGTTTTATTGCAGATATGCTCTTGATCAAAATTTATGGGAGCTACATCACTCCCTGTGCTGTCTAGGTCAGAGGGAATATTCATCTTTCACTGAATTTAGCAAAAATGAAATTCAAACTGTTCTGAAGTCAGAGCATTTATGTCCTTGTTCTGTGAAAAGGAAAGTTAAGCTTCCTGTCTTCAGCAACAAGGGACCCACAGTGGGCAAGTTAGGAAAAAAAAAAAAAAGCTGTTTATTTAAAATCCACCTTCTACTGGGAAGTTACAATTTGCATTTGCTTTCTAATTGATTGTTTTATTTCATCCACCATAAGCTTGATGCTGCACTAAAGCAGACTAGTGGGCAGTGATTATCACTTTGCAGGTGGGCTGTATGCTGCATGGTCTAGGAAAGGAAGCAGCTGCATTTCTACAACTGTGTCTGCTAAGATCTGTTACACTCCAAGTAAGGGTGGAAGTGGATTATTCGATATTTCATGCACCTTTTTGTGATCCAGGTGTTTGCTCAATAACTCCAGTGTGCCTGTGCCTCACTTCCTGTGGTTTAGACTACAGTTTGTTGGAAAGTCTGTGGGTTCGCAGACAAGTGACAAGCAGGACTGGCTCAAGACTGGCAAATTGGTAAAAAAGGTATGAAGGAGGAGCCTGGGAGCTACTGACCTGTCAGCCTCCCATCTGTGCCTGAGAAGACCATGGAACAGACCCTCCTAGAGCTCTGCTAAGGCACGCGGAGGACAAGGAGGTGATTGAGGACAGCCATCATGGCTTCACCAAGGGTAATTCCTTCCTGACCAACCAAGTGGCCCCGATGATGGGATGACTGCATCAGTGGACAAGGGAAGAGACAGGGGTGTTGTCTATCTGGACTTCCGAAAAGCTTGTGACATGGTCTCCCAGAACACCCTTCTCTCTCAGTTGGAGGGATATGGATTTGATGGGTGGACTGTTTGATGGATGAAGAATTGGCTGGATGGTTGCATCCAGAGGGCAGTGGCCAATGGCTCAACGTCTGGATAGAGATTGGTGACGAGTGCTGTCCCTCAGGTATCCATACTGGGAACAAGACTGCGCGAAGTCTTCATCAGTGACATAGACCAGTGGGATTGAGTGCACCCTCAGCAAGTTTGCTGACGACACCAAGCTGTGTGACGTGGTCGACACGCTGGAGGGAAGGGATGCCATCCAGAGGGACCTGGACAGGCTGGAGAGGTGGGCCACTGCCAACCTCATGGAGTTCAACAAGGCCAAGTGCAAGGTCCGGCACCTGGGTCGGGGCAATCCCAAGCACAAGGACAGGCTGGGTGGAGAATGGATCGAGAGCAGCCCTGATGAGAAGGACTTGGGGGGTACTGGTGGATGAAAAGCTGGACATGAGCCAGCTGTGTGCACTGGCAGCCCAAAAAGCCAGTTGTATCCACTTTCCTGATGGCCCTCCTTTGGGTTGAGGGAGACAACCTCGCTGCTTCTGTTTTGCTTCGTAAACCCTCTGGATACCAGGCCTAATTCGATAAAACAGTTGTTGCAGTGTAGATAAAAAAGGAGGATGAAAAAGCCGAAGCTTGCCCGGAGAGGTAATTCATTACTAATGGTCAACACCACCTCTGACAGTGAGATGAATAGCCCTAATTGCTGAAGCCATTTCCGTTACAGAACCCTTGATGTGCAAGCTGCCCCTGTGTTGAGAAATAAAACACTGCTGCTTCCAGCACAAGGCCGCACAGATGAAGTGGGAAGACTTGTTTTCTCCTTTTTCCTCCAGTTATGAAAACACGAGGAAAAAATCAATTCTGACTTCTTATTTACTAATTCTCTGCGGCACAGAGGCTTAATCAATAGCTGAGGAAAGGGTATAGGAAGGGAGCCTATTAAAATGTTGGCAGCATAAAATTGAGTTAGAAATGCACATATTGCTCTGTTCCTTCTCATCATTTTTACAGTATTCAGGGCAGTGCTGTCAAAAATAATTGTAAAAAAAATCTTAAAATTTTCTTAACCATTGTTAGGCCTGAAGCTGCTGACAGAGGGAGGAATATACTGTTAAAAGCACTATATTTTCTTGTAAAAGATGATGTTCTCTTTCACGACATACTTCCTTCTTGGTCTTCTCTTAGCTTCTTATGATAAAATTTCATGATGTGTGCTGTTCCTTTCCTAACAACAGTTTTTAAAAGATGAAATCTAACTGCTTTTTGCGCCTTTTAATGTGATACGGTGTTTTAGCACCTGTAGGGGGCCTACAAGGAAGCTGGGGGGGGACTTTTTACAAGGGCCTGTAGTGACAGGACAAGGGGTAACGGGTTTAAATTGAAAGTGGGGAGGTTTAGATTAGATATCAGGAAGAAGTTCTTCATGGAGAGGGTGGTGAGGCACTGGGACAGGTTGCCCAGAGAAGCTGTGGATGCCTCATCCCTGGATGTCTTCAAGGTCAGGCTGGATGTGGCTTTGAGCAACCTGGTCTAGTGGAAGGTGTCCCTGCCCATGGCAGGGGGGTTGGAACTAGATGGTCTTTAAGGTCCCTTCCAACCTAAACCATTCTGTGATTCTAAGTTTGAAATCAAAAACATAAGTGCTAAACTTGGCATTGATGAAGCCGTAGTTCTAATGTAGAGCTGATACATATGTTAGAGAAAATGTATTTTCTAGCCAAAATCAAAACTTTTCCTTTATTATAGCAGGAAATGGGGAAGGAGAAGAGCTTGCAC